TGTCCAATATAGATTGTAGCCTGGACAACATCCTCCTCTCTGCCACGGTCCAATAGGCTACAGTACAATATACACTAAAATAATAAAGGCCTTAAACGTAGGGCTCGTCTATGAGATGACCCCTCAGGATTGGGTGGTAATTCAGATGTCCCCTTTGTCATTTCAGTTTATATCAATGTAAGACCAGCCTTAATAAAACAAATGCAATAAATTAAATTACCAAAGTTGCCACACAGTGAACCTGGACATCAGCCTACTGAGGGGCTGTGAACAGTTGCCTGCTCAGCCCAGCTGCTAATCCAGCCTTGGTGGTGGCCTTTCCAAATATACAAGTTTATGTATTTACTGTCCTTAGTTCTCCTCTAACCTGAGTGATATAAACCTTTGAGTATATCAAGAGGCTATAACACACTACTATCAAATTCTATAATAGTTAAATGGTTAAGGTAAGGTGGTTATAGTGAAGTGTTTTCTAAGTAATAAAGAACCTTAAGTAGACTAATGGTTTTATATTGTTTCTATTTTATTTTGTTTAAATTCTTTATATTTGACAATTCCCTGTAAAAAAATCTTATTTATTTTCTGTTTCTGGTTTTGAAAGGTGCAATAGAAATATATTTTTACAGTCAGTGTAATTATGAAATATTGACTCCACATATTTAAAGTTTTTAAAGCAAATGTACTTCAAGAGATACAAAATATATATATAGTCTTGTAACTAGACAAGTAGTAAGTGAAAGAACTCATCATTGAATCCTTTAAAATAACTAAAATAATACATATATAATAATAATATATCATAATAGTAGACAGTAACTAGCCTAGAATATCTCAGTTAAAGGAAGACAAAAAAAAGTCCTTGAAAATTTGAACTGTACTTTATTTGGAAACATTTATTTTTAACATTTGCTTATTGAGCTGTTTGTTCAACAGGCTGATCATCAGTCTTGAGCTGGGGAGCATGGAACAGCATCAGTCACTGGCTGACATCTTTCCACCACAGCGTTGAGCTCGCCGACGTTCACGCCGTCGTAGGTGCCCGTGATGTACGTCCAGTGGGTGTCTCCGTTGTGGTTGGTCCTGCTCAGCCTGCCAGTGAAGGGGATGTCGGCCGTCATCTTCCTGCCTTCCATCCTCACGGTGCAGGAGTGGTTCGGTAAGACCAGCAGCTGCACAGAGACCGAGTGACTCATGGACTCCACCATGCTGGTTCCCTCTGAGAAGGTCACCGTCTGCTCCTTGGTGAAGTCCACGGTTCCCGGGCCAAGGATGGGCACTTTGGCCTTCATGGTGGAGACGGAGCCGTTGCGGGTCTCTCTGCCAATGTCCCAGGTCTTTTCCACCGAACTTGTCTTCTCCAGTACCACCGTCTTCTCCACACTTCTGCACTCCAGGTTGGTGACTTTGGCGAGCTGCAGGGCCTCCGGAGGATGGTGGAACAGCTCCATCTGGTCGATAGCATACTCCACGTGAGAGATGTGCTGGCTGTAGCTGTCTCTGTTGATAGCAAGAACGTGGTATCTCTTGTACCAGTACTCATCACCCTCCCAGGGAAGGAAGAAGGCCTCATGTTGTGTCACCACTTTGCCAAGACCGTACTTGTTTTTGCCAACATAGATGTCTGAGTTAGGGCAGGTTTTGATGGCGTAATGGGGCACTGACCCGTACGAATCTTCAACCCACTGCAGGAACTCAAAGTGGTCCACGTTGACCAGCACTTCAAACTTGGAAGATGCATACTCTCTGTCGGCGAACGGGTATTGGCAGAAGTGCCCTTTGCTGGGAGTGTAGAAGCCGGCCTCGCAGCTGACTTTGCACACGTAGTCAGTGCGCTCTGTGTAGCCGTTGAATATGGCGACTGCGCCATTCGGGAGGGAGCCGTTCCACGTGACCCACTTGAGGTTGGTGTGTTCACCAAACATGGGGAGGGAGTGTGAGGTCTTCTGAGTTTCTGGGATATCTATAACTGTAGTAGGTTTGATGACTTCCCGGGAAGGGACAACATCCTCCAGCATGGGGTTAAGCCATGGCTCTACATGACAAGACAGAAAAGAACAGGCTTTGAACAGTAGGTTTTGGTGTAAATCTTTTAATTCAACTCTCTTTAAGTGTCAGAATAAATAAAACTTTATTATGATATGACTCACTGGGTATTTCTTGCCCGTTGTCCAGCTGGGAGATGTAGAGCAGCGGGTCAGTCTGCAGCGCTGGGCTGCAGAGCTGCAGCACTGCCAGGACAACAGCGACACTCCACCTCATCTGGACACACACAACCGGCATGTTAGCATCAGTGGGAATTTAGTATAAACCAAAAAAGCAAAGCCAAAACTCATCAACCCCACAAAAGTAATAAACACTTGAATGCGTGCCTTTGGAAGCCGATTTACACATTTTTCATCAACAATAACTTTATTAGAGAAAGAAATTAGCAAGTCTCCTGCTATAAGTCCATATTCTAACTTATATATACACACCAGTAAATTATATATATATATATATATATATATATATACAAACAAATATATCTAAAAATATATTAAATATAATAATTTGGGTCCATCTTCCTCAGTTAAAATTAGGGTTACCTCAATTACCAAAATGTAAAAATATTAATTAAATTAGTATAAAAATACCCCCACAAGTGAATAAGAAGCTGCCAACCAAGATGTATAATTAAGGCACCAGCATTGTTAATTGGATGCCACTTCATGCTAAGTGTTGCCCTCTTTTCCAGTAAAAAATAGTAAGAACAGGAAAAAACAAACAGTACGTTCTAAATGATTTTAGATCCAAATATTTCAGATCCATTTATTGTTGATTTTGATCGTCAATCGATTTTATATACTGCAGGAAAGAAATCACACAGTGAAAAGATGCAGATTGTTGTTAATCAGAAACGAGCCCACAGCAGCGATTCATACAGATACAGAGAAGCAGTTTTTACCTCGACAGATTCCTTCTGCAGTGACGCTGCCTGCAGCATGTGCTGAGATTTTAAAACCTCCCTGCAGACTTATTGCCCGCAATAAACAGGAGAGAGAGCTGCAGCAGCTTCTCGTCCATTGACCCAGCATTTACTGTCTCCTGCTGCTCAGTTTGAATCTGATGTGTTAGTGTTCAGACTCAAAGCAGAAAATAACCACACAGGAGACTTCTGAAGGGAAATATTTCTCTCTAACAAGTTTAAAACTCATATTAGGGAGGTTGACTGAGCACGTTTGGTATTCCTGAGCAACATTCTGTGTGACTCCAGTTAGTGGTGTTCTCATTGGGAGCTGACCAGTACAACCACTATACACTGATGTCAGTGGCAGCTTCAGTGCCTCGCTCAAGGACACAGAAGAAACAAACTTTCCCAGTGTGGTCTGGATTCAAAACTGTGACCTAATTCCTGTAACTGTGTCCCTAATTTTGTATAAGCCATTAGACAGCTCAAGGCATTGGCTCAACAGTAAAATGTAGATAAGTTCAATAGTAGCATACAGTTATGTACGTGTCTATTTGAATAAACCCATCACATTTACTGTCTGTTATAAATTTTTTTACATGCTAGTGCATTGTGTTGGACCTTTTCTTGCTGCCCAGTGAAAACCATTTACATCCAAACTAGCTGATTTTCATGATTTCACATTATTTTAAGCAATATTTGTTCCGTTATGGTTTAAGAAAAACAATCACATTACAATTTAGTTTAAGTTTAAAATAAGGCTGTTATTCATCAAACATTTTGGAAGCAATGCTTTGTAAAATATGGGTTGCTGAGTTTACTCCAGTAAAGTTGAGACATCAGATTGAAAAGCCAGATTTCAGGTTCTACCTGCCAACCTGTCTGCCATGTGTGATTTCTTGAAAATTATCAACTTAGTTAAACTTAATTTATAGACGCTAGGTTGTCTGAACAAACATGCAAAATAATTAGATGAGTGTGTGTTAAGAATCTTATTTTTGTTGTGTTGTCTTCGTGCTAAACCAGAACCAGCTCCAGATACTGAGGGTTTTCATGCTGTTTTGACCTACTTTGTCCTTGACTTGAAAGTATTTACCTGCAGCTCTGGAGGAGTATAAAAAGAGTATTCGTGCTGATAATGATAACAGGATTCTTTATTGATCCTTGCTTACAAAACAGCGCTCCCTCCTCCTCTTTCTGTGAATTTACTCTTTGATGAGACTGTTAAAAGTGCTTCATAAATAAATTTGCCTGGATTTAACGTCCCGTATCTACTGGCGATAGAGGATTGCATGATGTCCAAAGTGCTGCGGCGCTCTTTCTCCACTGATGACAAGATACTGTATGTTTAGATAAGCTCAGGCTGGGAACACAGTGATTAGATCCCCTGTAATAGTGGATCATTGATCAAGAAGGTACTTGTTGCGTAATGTCGCTGCCTGCTAAGATTAAACTGGAGGAAAAGCCACTCATTGTTCTGCACGCACAGCCCATCATTAAAAATCGCTGATGGCCATGGCCATCTTAGTGTGGCCTTGATACAGAAAGTTATTATTATTATTTCGGTCTGGGGGAGGACTGTGTGAAAGGAGGCTGTGTAAAGTTCTTTTACACTGACAAAACTGCACTGTCACTGCCTTCAGCTGCTTCAGCATTCAGCTGAGTGTTAATTCTGAGAAAGGACTTGTCATTCATGCAATGCAAGAACTTCATGTTATTAAGATTCCGTGTTATTCAGAGGTATATAGAGAGTGCTATAGACTATAGAAACTGGTTGGATGTGTGAAACAAGGCAGGTTTTTCTCATAGATGCAAACTCTAAAAGTCTTTTGTGTGATTTGCAGAGTCAACGGAAATAACTGTTGTATTCAATGAAACAGTTTCTTTTATTAATTCACTGCATGTATACTATGAAGTGAACCACAAAAACAAACTGTAGAATACATTTAGTGCTACTGTACAAAGTAACTAGACAAAGAGTCTACAGTCATTCTATCAGCTCTGTGAGGCTGTACTTAGGCACAGTGTTGGGATAAATGCTAACGCCCTAAAGCTAAAATGGTCACATGGACAACAGTAACATACCGATATCAAGCAGGCCTAATACTTATCATGTTCATCATCTTAGGTTAGCATGCTAACATCAGCTAATTTCAAGCTGAGGCACCTGATGATGCCATGCTATACTTGTAAAGAATACCAATGGAAAATGATCACATACAGTATTTTCCAACACAAACTAAAAAGTATTTTAAACCAGGCTGGTAAACATTTGGACCCAAGTTCCTCTTTATTAATAAGGCTTTGTGGGTTTAGTTGCAAAAGAATCCCAAGACTGCAATAATTTGAGCAATCCCTGAAGAAGAGCAGAATATTCTAGTGTATGAAAATACCTATAGACTGACAAAAACGTTACAAATATTTATTAGACCTGAGAAATAACTCATATTGATGATAAGTTATAATACAACTTTGACCTACTGTGAATCCATCCATTTATAATTTATTCACCTTTTCTTTGTTTTTTGTTTTTTATTACAAATTCCCTTTTTTCATGTTTTTGTTTAATCCCTGCAACTACATATGATTTATTCTCCTGTGGGTATGTAAAACCTAGCTCTGTTTGAGTGTCCTACATATCCACTATTTTATCTCAGCTGTCTATTAAATTAGTTAATATGTTTGGTTTGTCAGTGAATAATCATTGTTCATTACTTTTTCTTAACTTTACTAAAATGTCCTACAATTTAGCATGTATTGCATGTATATGTATTGTTTATTCTTTGTGGAAAATGTTTATCTGCAAAGATTTGAGAATTTCTCAAGTAAATTAGCAGATACTGAGCACTGGGTAAATGTACTTAATTACTCTGATGTTTGTGCATGTTGTGGATGTAAAATCATTCATGGTAAAATGTTATCTGTATTATGTGCTAGACACCAGTCGACACAAGAGATATTTTCATTTTACTGCACAACGTTTTTATTGTGACACATAATTTGCTTTCAATATCACAAACAAAAATATTTTCTTCTTCTTTCAGGGGCAAGGCTTGGCATCAACCACAGGTTCACAGCGGTCCACCACAGCCCGGACTTCTCCGATCTGGACTCCGTCGTAGGTCCCGAAGATGGATGTCCACTGGGTCTCTCCGTCGCGGTACGTGCGACTGAGGCGGGCTGTGTAGGGAATGTCAGCTTTGATCTTGCGTCCCTCCATACGGACTCTGCAGGAGTGGTTTGGTGGGACTGTGAGTTCCACGGACACGGAGTGGCTGAGTGACTCCACCAAGGTGGTTCCCCTGGAGAACTGGAATGTCTTCTCACCGCTCAGCTCAATGCCCCCAGAGCCAATGAGGGGGATTTTAGCTGTGATGCTGCCGGTGATACCCAGCATGGTATTTCGGCCAATGTTCCAGGTGGTCTCCACCTCTGTGGTCTTTGAGATGGTGACTGTCTTCACCACTGTCTGGCATTCGTTGTTGGTGACACCGGAGATGCGCATGGTCTCAGGAGGATACTGGAAGATGGCGACCTCGTCAATGTTGTACTTGACGTCAGTGATGTGCTGGGTGTAGGCATCCTTGTTGATGGTCAGGACCTGGTACTTCTTGTACCAATACTCATCGCCTTCCCAAGGCAGGAAGAAAGCTTCAAACTGAGGAACAACCTTCCCAAGGCCATACTTGTTCTTCCCAACGTATATGCCAACACCTGCACAAGTCCTGACTGAATGCTGGGGCACTGAACCGTAGGAACCTTCCTTCCACTCCAGGAACTCAAAGTTGTCTTTGTTGGCCAGGATCTCGAATTCGGGGGCATAGTACTCACGGTCTCCATAGGGGTAGCGGCAGTATGGGCCAAGGCTGGGGTTGTAGAAGCCGGCGTCGCACTTGTACTTGCAGATGTAGTCAGTGCGCTCAGTGTAACCGTTGTAGATTGCAACGGCTCCGTTGGGCAGAGAGCCATTCCAGGTCAGCCACTCCAGGTTCACGTTATCACCGAAAATGAAAGCGGCAGGTTGATCTTGCTGCTGCTCCAAGTCAGCAGGAGTCAGAGGAGCCGACACCACATTGTTACCAGTCGGTTCAGGCACCAGGTCCTCCAGCTCTGGGTTCAGTAAGGAGACTGTGTAAAGGAGGCAGACAAGTTTACATATTAAAACACACCACACTTTTCATCAAATTTGAAAAAGCTTGCATGGTTAGGTATATAAAACAGATACTCAGAAACTCAAAGCTGATATCTGTATATGTATCTCTTTATGTCAATACAAAAATATCAAATGCTTACCTTTTCTGTGCAGTGAGCTCTTCTTCACGATGTCCTGCAGACTGGCTGAGGACAGAGCCAGCAGGGCCAGTAGCAACAACGCTGACAGCTTCATCTGGAGATGAAACACAAAATCTCAAATGAATACGTTGCAAGTGCAAGTATGAGCTCTGTCTTTCAACATGTTACACGTTATCTACAACCTCTATCTCTGTTACAGTGTACATCAGGAGACGTTACAGTTAAACGACACAACACTCTGAGATGATCAATATATATATATATAAAAGTTTAAAGAAGTCATGCTGTCTGTTTACTGTAAGGGTTCAACATCCACATGGACTTGTTTATCGACTGTACGGTGTCAAGATGACTTACAACTTAAATTAACTTGACTAAACTTAGCAAACTTAATTACAAATTTGCACTTGTAATGTAAATTAATCTTTATCTTTTATTCTTTATGTCTTTTATCTAATTCGTTTTTTCTCTTAGCACAGTGCATTTCATTTCACTATATCTATTACTTATGTATGTAAGAAATAAACCCTTGAATCCTTGTCAGTTTTTTGTAAATGGTTTGGATTCTTTTTTGACCAAAAAGTATTGATTAATATGTATATTTAATTACTTATTTGATTATTTAATTTCAATTCAGTTAAAATCAGTAACTTTATTTATTCTCAGTGGGTCAATTAGGAAGTATATAGAAGAGCTAGACCTGTTTTAATTAGATAGTAAAGTATAGTAAAATGTTTTTGAATAACAAAAGACATTGAAATGATCTCCAGGAAACATTTGATAAAAAGTAATATTATACAAGAATAGCATTATAACCAGTTAATATAAATTGATTACTAGAATTTATCGTCACTTGATCATGATCATCAGTGATTGTCCTGAGTTTGACTGAACAGCACTCACCCTTACAGTCGCTCCCTGCTGAGTCCACAGACAGTCACCTCCAGGTTTATATATACTGGTTTATGGCTGAACCATAAAGCAAACTGTGCACTTTCACTCCGTCTGACATGGATCAATACACAGAAAGTGGTGCAGTAGGTTTGTGAACAGCTGAGGAGGACTGGTGGCTCTCTTGTCAGTGTCTTTGGGATTCATTTGACCTCAAAAGATTCTTTTCTCTTCAAACATTTAGTAATGGATTCCAGTTAAATGTAGTACATGGATTGAACTTTGGTCAATATATAAAATTAGACTTGATCTGAACCTATGATTTATGTCAATAAACAATTACTATCTAAGTCTTTCTACCGTAACTATTAAAGACTTAATTCCTTTCCATTGTAGTAATTTAGCACTTTGGATGCTTTAGTCCAAATAGACTTGCAGTATAAATTCAACCTCTGTAGGAACAAGAGCTAGGTGTCATCAAAACTTTTAAGAGCATCCCTTCCAAAGAAACAAGAGTTGGCACCACCACAGCATTATCACTGGTGATGGAAATCAGGTCTTAGGGGGGCATCCTTTCCCCTGAAGAACACCGGCCAAGTCCTGTCCAAGTAGAATTTTAGGCAGTGCTTTGATATCCACTATAAGATACTACAAGCAGTGATGCATGCCTTCATCTGAGAGTCAGGTTAGGGAATGACAAGAATGGCTGGATATTGTCAGCATAGCAGTGGTGGGAGAAGTCAGAATTTATGGGGACAATCTGTCGTTTTAAATTGAAATTTAAAAGAAAGGAACGCCATCTTCAGTAACAATAATTTGGAGAGTTTATAAGAAAATTAATGATTTCAAGTTAAATGCAAACAACAGAATTTTGTAAAATGATAACAATTCAAGTTTATAGGAGATAATATTGAATCACCTAGCTCTAGCTGTCAAATTAAATGATAAAATGTTATGACAGTTTGTCCCTAGAGCAAGTAAACTCAAAAATAACTCCAGGATCAATGAACAAAGCATTTGAGCTGCTGTTGAGCTGAGAGCAGTTTAAGGCTCTAGATCGCAGCAGGAGGGAGACCACACACAGTTGGTTGATATTACTGATCAGCTTCTAGGTGGATGTCTGTAGTTTTCTGAATGTAGCCCTTGACTGGGCTTAACAAGATAATGGTGATGAAATGTGCATCTTAAGAAGTCTATTTGCAGTTTATGCTCATCTCACGAAGCATTATAAAATGAGTGCAGATAAATCCAGGATAAGATTCATGATTATTTACAAGTAAAACAAAAAACCAGACTGATAACGCAACGACTTATCAGTTAGTTCTGTCTTCCAGACTATCATACAGTATCAATGACCTTCAGTATATCACGCACTGTGCTTGTCAAATGTCATCTGTCTTTATAAACAACATCTAATAAACTGAGAAATCCAAGTCATAAATTAAATAAAGATCAATAGATTAATAAAGATTAATCAACCATGTAAAGTTGAATGTCATCATGATGCTTTTAACATTGAACCAAACCTTTATGGAATACTCAACCAAAAAAACTCCAACCTCTATACCTCTATATATATAGTTCAATGCAATACACGTTGTCCTTACTGCACTGCTGGATGAGGCCTGTGATCTTTCAGTGCCACCTGCTGGATATAAATGTCATGTTATACTTGCAATATATACACACATATAAGTCAATAAGGGTCTAATAGAGTGAAAAGGGTTTAAATTCAGTTTAAGGTACAGTTCTGTTTTAATGTGTCACAAATTAACCTCTAAAAACTGTTTGAGGATCTAATAGTGAGAAATTAAGACAACAAAATCCTGGTAGCTTCCATTATCCATAGAGGAGTAAAATTGGTTGTAGCTCGCAAGTAATTTTCCCCAAAAATTCTTACTTACAGTCCAGTGGTCCATGACTGATTTTTTATCAGTATTATTTTGTATTATTCAGTATACATGTACAATGTCATTTTGCAACAAAATTGGGTTTTTGTGTCACACAGTGACATTCAGGTTCAGAGTTTCGCATCCTACATGTGTGTTATGGATTAACCAATTAAAACTATTAATTTAAGTTGAATTAATTGAATTTTGCACTTTTTAGCTGCTGTGAGGGTGACCAAATGCTCTGACTGTTGTGAAATTGGATGCATGAGACTGCATGTAGAAATGAAGCTTGCCTTAATAGTTGGGAGGTCCATTTGCAAATGACTGAATATCCCAATAAATTCTTGAAAAGATGATTTTCATGACAAGTATGGTATTGCAGCCCTGGCTTTTGTTACTTTTTGCAATCGACTTCCTGCAGCACCAGCCATGACCGGGAGGGTTTAAGTTCATTAAAGGTCCAGTGTGCAACATTTAGGCGGACCTAATGGCATATAATCCTCAAAGGTTAGAAAATAAAATGAGAATCATGTTTTCGTTACCTTATATGTAAGATAATATGACAATTTTGAGACGCCACGTGGAAAGGACAAACCAAACTATGGCTCTAAATTTCACGGCCACCATAGTTTCTCCTACATGCAGTAAGTGGGTTGTAATCTGCAACTATGCTCGTTGCCACTAATTACCACTGGCGCTTTAGTGTTGAATTGGTCAAATGGTAAATTTGCACCACATAAAAACCACCTAAAAGATTTCTCTCAATGGTTCAAACATATGAGTAGTAATTGAAAGCTGTTGAGTTTTTTTTTATCATCTTAAGCTACAATTTGATTCCACTGAATTGAATAATTAGTGTTGGTATTATTATTATTATTATTATTATTATTATTATTATTATTGTGATTATACTCTCTATTACACTTTGTATTTCCAAAATGTTTAACTACTACTTCACTTATTCTTCTTCATGAAAAAACAAAATATTATGTACAAAGAAAAACAATGCTTCTTGAAAGAAGAAAAAAAGAAGAAAAAAAATATTATTTCTACCCTCCAATCCTGTGTCCTTTAGTCAATTATTCAGTTATCACGCGTCTACTCAGGATAGGCCTTCCTCCTGCCTTGGAAGAGTTATACACATTGAACTACTACCAGGTTATGACCATCAATGACAATAATCAACTAGCAGATCTACAATGAGCAATGCACAATGTACAACAGTGATGAGTTTAAAATCTTAATTTAGTCAATATGGTGCAACATAAAGTACCCTTAGCCACACTTACGGTAACAGAGAGATCCACACAACGTCCATGATTGGCATGTATACCAGCATTCAGATTGCAGGACAAGACAACTGACAATTTGTATGTACATACATAATAAAATGACGCTGGCCACTCCAAAAATTTGCTTTTCTCATTGTAACTTCACTTGGATGTTTCAGCTTTATTGTGCAGAGTTTCGCACATGCATCTGCTGACAAGGGAAAGTTTTCCTGAGATAAAAATAAAGAAGGGAACGTTGAGCTTTATTGTATATTGTTCAATGTCATTATGCTACATACATTTGTCTACTTATCATGAATATTTGGATTCTTGCACACCAAACCTCAATTACACAATATTTGGATCATTCAGCACTCATAATTTTCTTTCTTTTTCTTATTTGACTTTCATTATTTCTTGTACTTTCTTACACTTGATGCACAGAGACAAATCGTTACCTGTTACTACACAACACTACCTGACAGTCCAAGTGACACTTTGAACATATTTCACTAACAACACTGATGTAATAAAACTGCAATGCTGCCGTTATTGACTGTAACATGCATGCTGAGTGATTGTGACACAGATTAAGCTTGCATCTAATGCCTTTTTTATGTAACAATAAGATATTAAATACAAATTTGTGATAAATTTGTTGTTTTGAAAACAGTTTAAAAACACAAAATGAAGAAATAGTTAAAATCCAAATACTTTTATGTGCCTCTTCAATTATTATTTAAGGCAGGTACAGGTTCACAGTTATCCACGTAAGCATGGATATGTCCAATTTGAATGATATTGTACATCCCAGAGATAGACGTCCACGTGGTCTGCCCGTTTGTGTAAGTGCGGCTGAGGTGTGCAGTGAAAGGGATGTTTGCCTGGGTCTTATATCCCGCCAAATGGCCTTTGCAGGTGTGCTTTGGTGGGACGGTCAGCTCTATAGAAACAGAGTGCTGGTTCTCTTCTGTAGTGGTGTGTCCACCTGAGAACTGGAATGATACCTCACCAGTGACATCTACACTTCCAGATATGATGCCAGGGATTCCTCCAGAGAATGTCGTCTTGATACCGGCCATGACTGAAGAGACAATATCCCACCTTTTCTCCACCCGAACTGTCGCTGAGACAGTAGATGTTGTCAACACCGGACTGGATCCACTGTTGGTGCTGGCAAAGCTGCGTATGCTCTCTGGAGGATACTGGATGATTTTAGCACTATTAATGTTGTAATGGACGTTCGAGATGTGCTCACTGTATACATCTTGGTTACAGGTTAGGACCTGGTAGCTCTTGTAAAAATACTCACTGCCTTTCCAGGGAAGGAAGAAGGCCTTATGCTTAACATGTACCTTCCCAAGACCGTACTTGTTCTTACCAACATATACGTCTCTGTCGAAACAAGTTCTGAGTGAATGTACAGGCACTGAACCATAGGAACCGTCCTTCCACTCCAAGATCTCGAAGTTGTCTTTGTTCACCAGGATATCAAATGGTTCACCTTTCACCTCTTTGTCTCCATAGGGGTAGTGGCAATAAGGACCGTGTTTAGGGTTGTAGAAACCGGCTTCACAAGTGAATTTGCAGACGTAGTCATAGCGATCAGCATAACTGTTGAAAGTCGCCACAGATCCATTAGGGAGACTACCATTCCAGCGCAGCCATTTCAGGTGTGCACTATTACAAAATGAGGGGAAAGGAGGAGCCTGTCTCCTCTGTCTCAACATAGCAGAAGAAGGAAAAAATTCATCTGCTGACATTGTTTTCTTAGAGGTGATTTCAGGAATCCCGTCCTCTGGAGCTGGGTTCATGGAGACTATTAAAGAAGGGAAAAGGCATAGCCACATTATGTTAGTGTCATCGGTCTGCTGGATGCTAATTTCTGCTCTTACTGCTTCTATGAGAAATGTTTAAAGTGTATTTTGCAGTAACTCATATCCCTTGGTTGTTGTTTGTCAACAATGTGCATTATGATGCTTTCATGCTGTTGAGAAAATACGAGTACTCACTCATGTATCAGGAGCATCATTAACTGATATGGTATGCAACATATTTCCACACATAAGTGTTGCATTGTTTGAAGGAATTTCTATTGGATTAACAGACAAGTAGCAGATAGTGTACAGCCTCTCACTAAAACTACAATATCATTTTGTGTCAGCTGTCATTAGCAGTAAGACTGTTTTCAAGCTAATACAAAAATACTGTTTTTATCTCTGTATACTTCTGTGATGAAATAATAAATAAAAAAATATAAATAATGACTGAAGAAGAAATTCATAATGACAAACAAAATTACAATTTTTGTGCTGTGAGCTTTTCTTCACAATGTCCTGAAGTCTGGCCGAGGACAGGGGCAACAGGAGCAACAACAACAAAGCTGGAGGCTTCATCTGGAGATCAAATACAGTCCAAACTTATTAGTACATGTAACACATGTAAACTTAATTCACATTTTTGCTTCATTATTGACACACTATGAAGCTGTTCAAGACAGAAGCAGACTTGATGGACTTTGCAGGACCTGTTGTCTTTAATAACTATGTTGTTGTTTGTAAGATGGTTTAATGCGAAAATAATCGCAGTTTAGTGATAATGTATTACAGAAAATGATTACATTGATTTGGCGACATTTATCAAAAGAACATTTGCAACATTAAAATAATTAATAATTAATAAAAATTGAGTAATACAATGTTATACAAGTAAGAAACTGAAAATGTTTAAACAGAAAAAAATCTACTTATTTACTTAATAACATAACATGACATGAAGTTATATCATTATTACAGACATGTAATATTTACTTTAATATTTTGATGATGGCGACATTCCTGTGAAAAAAAACTTTACTTAATTAGTTTAAATGAATATAACTTATAACTTAGATATAATTAAGTGACATTTACTTAATATCTTCACAAATGTTAATTTTAGGGGTAAGTACTTTTTTATATATTGGCAAGTTGTACTTGATGTTATAGCAAAAATGGACTTAAAGAGTATTATTCTAAATCTTACAAGTTGTTTTATTCAGTATTGTTGATACTTATTATACAACCTCACATACCTTTCCCTTTAAACAAAAAAAAAGTTTTAAACCAAAACAGAATACTTCAGGAATTAAATACAATGCGATAAATGTACTCACCATCATAGTCACACATATCACTCACACAAGTTTCAACATTTGTTTTCGGTAACACTTTAGCTAATCATACAAATTCCATTAGTGTATCACCTAAAATAACAATTGTTGTGGTTTTATTACCATAGAATGAGCCTTTTATATATACAGATGCAGCGGGTGGACTTCTATGGAGGCCTTCACTCCTATTAGTCCAGTGTAGTCCAGTCTAGTTTGTGTGTTTAGAGTGCTTTCACTCACGTACACATACAGTATTTGATTTGGATATGTTCCAATAAGCTCGTAGGCTTTGAACTTTGTAACTTACAAGTTCTGGTCCAGAACGTTGCTGCCAGGTACTGGGAAGAGGCACTCTATAACCCCTATTCTGGCCTCTCTCCACTGGCTGCCAGAAAGGTTCAAAATTTAATTTAAGGTTCTCCTATTTGTTTATAAATCTTCATGTGCTGCCCCCTTCCTATATTGCAGACCTCTTAACCCCTTACTCTACATCCAGGTTGTTCAACTCGGCTGACATAGGGCTTCTGGCTTCTAAACTTGAGATCAGGTGTGACCGCACTTTTGCTATTGCTGCCCCTAGACTGTGGAACAACATCTCAACAGTCCAGGCTCAAAACATACTTATATTCTCTACAGGAGTCCACATGTGGCAGATTTTTTGTCTGGTGCCTATGTGTTGTTTATCTGTACCTATGAGCTGTATGTACTCTATGTATGCTTTATAAATACATTTGATTTGATTTGATTTGAAGTTTGTAACATTTACCCATGTTTTCTAATCATATATGTATATATAAAAGTTTCAAATCTTAGTCCCAAAACTTAGTTCTTCAACAACTAACAATGAATAACTTATAAGATGCCTCACTGAAATCTTATTGGCATAAAGAAACTTGTTGCTTGGCCACCATTTCTATTTGGTTGAAATGATCAGGACACTATGTACACTTGCAGACAGCAGAGGGCAGCAACAGTCTGACAGAGAAAGGAAGGTTGACAGTCTGATTTCGGATCGTATATCAGAAAGTATATATCAGTTAATCAATCAATACTTTAAACAAATATTTCAATCAAACCAAATGCTCTGACTGTTGTGAGACTGGGTTGCTGATGCATGAGACTGCATGTAGAAATGAAGCTCGCCTGAAAAGCTGGGAGGACAAACTGACCAGCATGCTAACATGATCATGTTAAGCAGGTACAGTGTTTACCATGTTAACCATCTTACTTTAACCTGTTAGCATGCTAATATTTGCTAATCAGCACTCAACATAAAATACAGCTGAAGCTAATAGGAATGTCATTAGTTTTGCAGGTACTTAGTGTAGTCATTAACTAATTTGGACAAAATTCAACTTTATAAACCAAAACCGAAAAAACCACCTAAAGGCCCTAAAGGAAAAGTCAGGGGATCACCAGCGTCGTTAGGATTCATCCTCTGGGGACCATGAATCTACATGTAGGTGCTATGATAAATCACACTCTTCGGCCAGCATGTATAAACACAAGCATTTATTAAAGAAATAATAAAAGCAAAACAGAGTAAAATACACAATACACAATCTGACTTAAAGGAACTAGGCCTGTCACGATAAGCGATAAATCAATTAATCGAACGATAAATAAAATGAGCTCGATAATTTCCATTTACATGCTTGTTTGTTTTCCTCGTCTCTCTCTCTACCAAAGAGACTGGATGACCACTCCGGTGCATCGGTGACCCCAGGGGCATCGCACCCATGGGGGATGTGCGCGGTGTTTGGACACGCCACAGGCTGTTTTCCGGCTGACGAGGTTCAGAGCACGCCACACTGTTGTTCTTGCGAGTTTTTCCGCGCGCAGTTGGCCAGAGCGCCGCGCTTGACTGAGCAGTCGCGTCGCGCGTTTCTCTGTCCGCTGTTGTGTCTGCGGCGCGCCCTGCCGCTTGCCTCCGTCCCGCCTCCGCGTCGTCCTTGTTGAGAAGGCACGTGTGATTGACCGCGGCTGGATGAAAGTTGTGGTGCATTCTGCCTTAAGTCCCCTCTCTTGTGGGCTGTTTGAACATTATCGTGTTCAGTGTCGTGCTGAAAGTCACTGAGTACTATATAGATATATATACGAAGTCGAGAATGTACCAGGTAATAATGTGAAAAAGAATGCAAAAGATGATTGTCTATGGTTTGAGTCAAATTCAAAAGGGTAGCTGTACTGACCTCTCAAGGAGGGCGTTGTGAGGGGAGATGCATGCACCACAGGCAGGAATGGATTTGCGCTGTGGGCGTCTTGTGGAGCATCTGTCGTTGAGAGGAGTCTTCTGCTTGAAGCGAGCCTCCTGCTGCTGCGGCCAGTGGTGTCGATAGAGGAGCGGTGAGGAGGAACGATTGTTCACGATGGACTTGCAAGCCGGACAGCATCGTCCTCTCTTGGGCCACCTGGTCGTCAGGGCGAGGCGCCGGGACTAGCTAGGTTCCATGAGCGCTGTCGACGTAATGAAGCCAAAGTTGTCAATATGACGATAATAGGCATAACCTGCCGCATTCATCTCTTTTGCCACTTTTTGCGTTTACGGAAGGCTTCCCTACTGCCAGGTGGCTTGGGTCGCTGGTAAGGAAGTTTAGTCGCTCTTTATTGTGCCCTGAGCGTAGATGGGTTTAATATTTTTTAAAGTGGGCAATTTTTGTCTAATCCATTTGTATGTCATTTGGTTTTGTTGGGTTGTGTCTTGGTTTTTATATTCCAGTGCGATGGTTTTTGGTGTAACGGGAGAGACTGGAGAGTCCAGTTGGTATATTGTATTGTTTTTGGATGTCTTTTAGTTCCGATATATACATATTGTTTTAGAGAATAAAAGGTTATTGATTGAAAAGGGGTGTACCTGTGCAACATTATTCATTATCATTGATTATGTAGATGAAAATGTGCCGGTCTGCGCGAACGACATATTATCGGTTTATCGCATCTGGGACAATTTATCGTCCAGCAAAGTTTGTTATCGTGACAGGCCTAAAAGGAACTAAGCTAAAGGAAAAGCTGTGTGTGTGTGCGTGGGGGGTTACGCACCAGAAAAGGTGTTTGTCTTTTGTCTTTGAGCTGAGCATGAAACACGTGTTGGTGAGAGACAAAGAGCATGGAGGAGCGGGAGGATTTGATTTCCCTCTTCTCATGTGTGTGCTGAGATTTAGGCCAAATTTAGGTGTGTGTGTGTGTGTGTTCTTAGATTAGTGGTGCCGTTAAAAGGGAGTTTAAAAGACTACAAATACTACAGTAACCTGCGTTAATCATATCAACAACACAACAACATAACCTGAATAAAAACACATCAGTACAGTAACATTAACAGTAATTAAACAGTCCTTGCTTAGCTTCCCTTTGCTCATGTTTTAAGGTCCCCTTTGACCCTACATATATCCCGCCCTTTGCACCTGATGTGTGATCCTGAGAGCAAGAGTGTATAGTCCATAGCTGAAAGAGTTCATTTGTTAGTTCGATCACGTTTAGTAACATCTGGGCAGTTCATTGATAACTTTATTGATAACAAGTTACAAAACAAAACCAGATAAAACATCACAAAAGCATTGCTATGGCTAACATAAATAACCAGTGTTTCTCAGTTACTCTGCTGTTAATGAGAAAAGAAAGGTTAGTGGTGTAAAACTGTTGGTGAGATACAGAGAGAAAGTGAAACAAATGAAATCAATTTTTGGACTGTGTTAGATAAGGACATGAGTGTGTGATAACGGGGTGTGTCCTAAACTAATGTTTGCAGTGATCTTATCAAAAATACTATCAAGGACCAAGTCAAGGTGTATTTGCAAACAGTGGTGTCAAATCAATATTTGGTTTGTTTTTGAGCTGACAGTAGGTTTTCTGACTATTGTATAGTTTACTGTGGTTGCTAACAAATCCAAGTTTGCCTATGAACTGCAGAAAAAGGTAAGGTACACTGAGCTAGCTTACAGTCATATATCGCCATGACAGCGAGCTCTAGAGTTCTTGTGCCTAAAGTTTTTCCTAACTTGTGGCTCAGGGCTGTAACGCTCCTGGTAGCCAGAGGCAGAGAGACATTCAGAGGCGCTGTTACTGTCTGATGGGATATGACCATGTTCTGAACTGTGATCAGAGATGCTGTGGTCATCATCTGAATCATCAACTATCTGGTCATAATGTTGGGACTGGCTTTTATACCCCCGAAAGGGTCCTTGACATCTTATTCAGCATCTCCATCAACATCTCCTTCAGCCGCACCTAAAGGTCCACATGCCTTGCACATTATGTACGGCAAATGTGGTGAAAAAAGCATTATGTGGGGTTTTTTGCATGTTTATATTTGATGACATCTAGTTCTTGTTACTGCTGAATTTGAAAGCCCTTACTTTCAGATACTTTGGATGAAAGACGAATATAATTGAAATTACAACGTGTTTTTCAAAAATGTTGTACCTTAATAAATGTTATGTTATATACATTATAAAATGACATTGGCCAGTTCAAAATGTGTTGTAGTATGGACTTCAGACACAGAATTAAAAGTTTTCAATTGAGGGATAACAAAGTATTTAAAACTTTTTTTTATTAAAAATTACCCCCAGACATAAATTGTTATTCCAAGCAGTGTATTTAGATGTCAGTTGTCTTAAGCATCTCTGGATGGGAGATATGAACTACTCATATCTCTTTTCTACTAAAATGTCTACAAATCAAAAACAGAAACAACGCAGAGAGAAACACTGCAAAAAAGAGGAGAAAATACATAGCATTTATATTTCTATTGAATAAAATAAATTAAATGTAATAAATGTAATAAAAAATACTCATCAGTTTGAATGTTTTAATTCAACTAATGCTTGGTAAATACTAACTCAGCTTTCAAAAAGCAGAGTATTGCATTCAATTGAGTATTATCGCTGCAATTCTAGATAATCTGAGGACTATTCATCATTGTATTTAATTTATCGAGCATCATTTTTATTTTTTGTCAATTGACCATACGCCAATGTTTGTGTGGCCAGTACAGCACAGCCATTATGTTTATATTTTCAAAATAAAGAATGTGAGATTTTTTTCTGTTTTTGCAGCTGTACAGAAAATGTATCAAACTCTGACCCCAAACCAGGATTAACTGTGAATTATTTTGTACCTTTACACCCCTGATATGTATAGGTATGGCTGTGGTAGACTTTGAAAATAAATATGAATACGTTAACTACAAGTAACACATTTGATATGTATTTTGTATATTTAAATAAAATAATAAATCAAATGTTTAGAAAACTAGTTCCTTCAGTAGACCACAAGGAACCATAACAGAAAACAAGTCTTTTCTTTAATATGATAAAGCCAGATAGAATAAAGTTTCAGATGGTTAACCAATTAAAGAAAACAGAGAGATAAGGATCTAACAGCTACTTGATTAATACATTGCCAGCTCATTCATGCTTAGCTACTTAAGTTTGTATTTCAAACACAGTTCCATTCTTCCTGAAAGTTTTAGAATTGATTTAAATGATACTGTGATAACCTTTAGGGCACGGCATGGTAAAATATTAATCTCTTCCAACACAATATCCTTGTTCCTGGTGAGAAAGTGTGAAAAGGAAAGTGAAAGTACAGAAGTACAGCTGAAAAGCAACCACTCTTCTGCAGTCAGAATTCTGCAACCTTTTTGCTGTGAGGTGACAGTGCTTACCACTGAGGCACCATACTGCTCAGTGGTGCTCCATTAATTCCCTAAAACACAACACAACACACTTTGCTGTTTTACTGTAAAACACGTTATGCTATTATGGTTATTCAATCCAAATGTAAACAAGGTTCCTTTATTCTAGCAACCCTCAAAACCCTTTTTCATATATGACCTAAAAATGGATTTCAGTAACCCCATTGTCAGCTGTCTGAGTAGGCCTACTGCAGGAAAAGATTAGTCGCAAGATAGTCTCCTTACAGCAATACTTGAG